TGGGTTGATGTTGGGTTGATGTTGGGTTGACGTTGGGTTGATGCTGGGTTGATGTTGGGTTGATGTTGGGTCGACGTTGGGTTGATGTTGGGTTGATGTTGGGTTGATGTTGGGTTGATGTTAGGTTAACGTTGGGTTGACCTTGGGTCGATGTGAGTTTTTTGTTGGGTCGACATTGGATCGACGCTGGGTTGACATTGCGTTGACATTGGGTTGACGTTGGGTTGTGGTTGGGTTCATGTTGGGTTGACGTTGGGTCAACATTGGGTTGACGTTGGGTCAAGGTTGGGTCAACGTTGGGTCGACATTTGGTTGATGTTGGTTTGACGTTGGGTTGACGTTGGGTTGACACTGGGTTCACGTTGGGTTGACGTTGAGTTGACATTGGGTCGATGTTGGATTGATGTTGGGTCAATGTTGGGTTGACGTTGAGTCGATGTTGGGTCGACATTGGGTCAACGTTGGATCGATGTTGGATTGACGTTGGGTTGATGGTGGGTTGATGTGAGGTTGACGCTGCGTTGATGCTGCGTTGACGTTGCGTTGACGTTGTGTTGACCAAGACTCTTCCCTCTTCCCCTCCCGACCCCCGTACCCAATTTTTTCCCCTTTTCCCCCATTTTAGGAGCTCCTTTGCTACAAATCCCACCTCCCCGGGGAATTCCGTCTCCTCTGGCGGCGCCGTTTCCCCAGCCCCCTGCTCTCCCTGCTCTACGCCGACCTCACGGCCGACGGGCTGCGCGAGTTGGCCGTCGTCTGCCTCAAGGGCCTCCACGTCCTGCAGGTGGCGCCCCGAAAAACCATCCTCCCCCTCCTCCTTCTTAACCAAAAACCTCCTTTTTATCCCCAAAATCTCCTCCCCCCCTTCAGCACAGCCTGGAACCCACGGCCCGGCGGGTCCTGGAGCGGCTGCGGAGACGCGCGGAACGACGGGCCTTGGAAGGGTGAAGACCTTCGTCTTCCATCATCAGCGACGGACCCAAACTCGGCCCTTTTCACCCCAAAAATGAATAAAATAACGCAAAACCCCCGTCACCGGCTCTGGGCTCTTTTTTTGGGGGGGGGGTCGCCACGGTTTTGGGGTCGGACCTCTCGATTTTGGGGTTGGAGCCTTCGCGCATCTCCAGGATCCTTCATTTTTGGGTTTGGATCTTTCATTTTTTGGGGTTAGATCCTTCGTTTTTGGGGTTGGATCCTTCGTTTTTGGGGTTGGAGCCTTCACTCACCTCCAGGATCCTCTGTTTTTGGGGCTGGATCTCTCGATTTTGGGGTTGGACCCTTCGTTTTTGGGGCTGGAGCCTTCATTTTTGGGGTTGGACCCTTCATTTTGGGGTTGGACCCTTCGTTTTTGGGGCTGGAGCCTTCACCAACTGCCAGGTTTCCCTGATTTGGGGGTCAGAACCCTCGATTTTGGGGTTGAACCCATCAATTTTGGGGTTGGAGCCTTCACCCACCTCCAGGATCCTCTGTTTTTGGGGCTGGATCCTTCATTTTTGGGGCTGGATCCTTCATTTTTGGGGCTGGACTCTTTGTTTTTGGGGCTGGAGCCTTCATTTTTGGGGTTGGACCCTTTGTTTTTGGGGCTGGACCCTTCGTTTTTGGGGCAGGAGCCTTCACCAACCCCCAGGTTTCCCCGATTTTGGGGTCAGAACCCTCGATTTTGGGGTTGAACCCATCAATTTTGGGGTTGGAGCCTTCACCCACCTCCAGGCCCCTCCGATTTTGGGGTAAGATCCTGCATTTTTGGGGTTGGACCCTTCGATTTTGGGGTTGGAGCCTTTACCAGCCCCCAGGTTTCCCTGATTTTGGGGTTAGAACCCTCGATTTTGGGGTTGTA